TGGAGGGTTGGAGGGTTGGAGGGTTGGATGGATGTTTGGATAGTTGGATGGTTGAATGGTTGGATGGAGGGAGGGAGGAAGGGAGGGAGGGAGGGAGGGATGGATGGATGGATGGATGGATGGATAGACAGAGATGGAGGGACAGACAGACAGATAAATATGGTTACAAGAATGGTATGGCATCACATGGATAAGATGGGGGGCTGAACAAATGGATATTTAAGTGGGTTGATGGATGGATGGATGGAGCAATGAATGGGCAAATATACAGATGTACATACAGACCTTTTCACTTAATGAAGCAAATCCTTTGTCAGGGTGCTGGGTCCTCAGGTCATACACATGGAACTTTGATTCCAATGTCGTTACTACTAGTTTGTTCATCAGTATATCCTTTCGATCAAACTCAAGACCACAGACCTGCAAATATCAAGAGCATGACCAGATTAGATAGTCAGTCATGCTACAATGAAATGATGGCAAGGGTTTTTGGACTAATGGACAAACTCTGGTAACAGTTCATCAGCAACAGTTAATGGTTACATATTCATCAACGGGAGTTTCACAAAATCTTTCTCTATTACCATCTTGTGCACAGAAACATATAAAGTACTAAAAATACTGTCTGTAATACATGAAAAATTCATGATCAGGTCAAACAAAAAATAAGTGTGTTTCCTGTTGCATGAAAAAATAATTGGGGTCAGTAGGTCCGATTTGTTTTACTGATACAACAGTGGAAATGAGCTTACTGGGAACCCTGTGGTGCATTTGGGAATGAAAAAAATATTAGGGTCGGCAAAAATCGGCAAGAAAATTAGGGTCGGTCGCACAACAGGAAAAACACTTATTTTTTTGGTTTGGCCTCATAAAGAATATGAATATGTAGCTGTTCTCACCCCATTCTTGATATTCGTTTCCCATTGGACAGCCATTTTCTTCAGGTCAAATAACTTCACATCCCCATTGTCGTATCCAGCAGCTATCATACACTCTGATGCATTATATGCATTACCTAGCAGGACAAAAAATATAGAATGATGGTGATTGTTCAGTTCCAAAAAAATATCCATACCTATATAGGACAATAGCATTTCCAAGGGAAGGGGAGGGTCTGAGGAAGGTATATTTTATATTTCTAGAAAATATCCATAACTTATCCATGGGGTTGCGAAGGGAGACTGAGATATGGGGAGTGTCTGAGGAGGGAATATTGTATCAATGGTTACAGAAAATATAAATTAATACATATAAATCTCCAAGGGTTGGGGGGAGGGGTGATCTGAGAAGGGGGATAATGGTAGCTACAAAAATTATCCATACATCCCCCATGGAGGGTGATAAGAATAATTATTGAAGAGGTGGTGACAGTTTGATGAGGGTATATTGTGCAGTACCAACAAATATGGACACCTCCTCGCCATAAAAGGGGATTATAATTCCCAATCCAAGAGGGGAGGGTTTGAGGAGGATTTATTGTGTAGTACTATTGAGAAATTGGGGTACTATCTGAAACAACATTATTTAACCATTAACAGTATTCAAAAAATAATTATCCACCCCATGCCACCCTGACCTCTTACCAAATGCAACAGCCCAGCAATCTCTTCCTTCCTGGCCCTCAGCTGGTGACATCTGTGCAACTGGCTTTTCTTTTTGACGAGGATCCCACACACAAACAGAACCTAAACAAGCAAAATAATACAAATGCCAAAACATGACAAAAGAGATCTAGAGATCCTTAACTTATAGTTTTTACCATGAAAAGTACTCTCATTTGTATCTTACCATCTCTACTTCCTGTGACGATTTCAGGAGCACCTTCACCTATCCCCAGACCTCCAACGCCATCAATAGCATTAATGATTTGCGAATGCGCCTTGACTGAATAGATAGGTCTATCAGTGTTTTCAAGATCCCTGAAATAAAAACGCATGGCTCAACAAGCATGATTCAAGGTCAAACCATGGACCTCTGGCTCCGAAGGCAGCACACTAACCAACAAAGTTACCCCTTGGAAGGGTTACTTATTCTATGGGGCTAGGTTAAGAGATTTAGCTTGTAGTGGACCTAGCTTTCTGTCGTAAATTACCTGCCTTATGACCTAACAAATTTTATAATAAATATAATAAAATAAGTTTAACTATAAATTTACCATATCATCATCTTGCCCTCAAAATCTCCTGTTGCAAGATATCGCTGTTGCAGGCTTGAAGCACCAAATGTTCCACATTTAAAAGCCGTTTTCTTCTCAACCTGACACATCGCGAAATAAAAAATCATTATGCAAAATTAAAACTCGATTTACTACTATCTACAGATTTCTACATTCATAGAGTCATGCTTAGAGTGTTAAAATGGGAAAGTACATGTACAATACTCCTTTTTACAGTTCCGTTCAGTGATCACGAATAATAGTTCTAAGTCGAGGCTGGATTTTCCATGCATAGCGAAACTATACTTTTTATCATGCGCGGCAACTTCAACCTCGGCTTGGAACAATTATTCATGGTCACAGAACCGAACTGTAAAATGGAGTATTATGTCGACTTCTCAAAATATGCATAATATTGTGCGTAAAATTGCAATGGCTTAATTCCTGTTGTTTTTACATGAATAAGCCAATAAATAAATTAATTAATAAATGGGATTTAGCACTGTGGCATTTCCACAGAGTGAGTCTTGATCCACTAAACGTTTATTTTTACAGGTGGAGGAAAATTTACCACCATCAAGATTATTCATTTGCTATCAATAGGTTTAACTAAAAAAAAATACTTTAGTATCTTACGTCTTTCAAGAGCTTGATATCACCATGAGACACCTCATAGATCTGCATTGCTCCAGTACCCCTGGCATGATTCCCTAGAACAACAAACCTCGCGCTCGAAGGAATCCACTTCGCGTCAAATACTGTATAATTTAACGACTTCTGCGCGTGAGAAATTATCTGAGGCTTATCCATTTTAAAGTTTTAAAGCTTTTCTGTGATGTTTTTCACCAAAAATATACTAAAAATTGTCATAAAATCATGTTTTTTGAGCTTCAAACCTGCTTCCAAGTGCTTTTTGACGTTTCCAAGTTAAAAAGTCGCAGGCGTTACTAGCTAGTTGCGCGTGCGTTGATGGTAAATACCGCTGACCGGTAGAAAAATTGAAGAAAATGTAAAAAAAGAACAGCAAATGTGAAAAAAAAATTAACTTATTTATTCAGGTTTTTTAATTATTTTGTTTTCATAAATCGTAGTTTTATTCCTGCTACCGATTGGCAGATCTCTAGAGAGGTGTAGGGGGACGCCCCTTCCACGGAATCCGAGGTAGATATCAGGAACGAATCAGGAATGGATCTCTCAGTCACTGATGTTCAGAAAACTTTGCTTTCCGAGATACCTCGCCGCACCGCACAATCTCGTACCCAGAGCCTGCGTTTCTTTCTAGTTTTGTGCCAGGGAAAAAAATAGTTCTTTTTCTTCAGTTCCTTTCATGATGTAAACTACTGAAAACTTCAAGGGAAGTTGCCAGAAATATCATTTTAATAAAAAGCAGTCGGACTCGGTTTGTAACTGATATTATGTGTTGAGTGGTTTTTGTTGCTCGTGATACAAAAAACAGTGAAAGTGATATTCCAACTAAATTAGTGCCCTGTCTTGAAGTATAACAAGATACTTGGTAAACAACTCGTCCTATACTGATGAATGGATTGAATTTGACGGATAGTTGGCAAGTTTGACATGTCTCTTACAGGAGCGGGTGCCAGTGGGGTAAGTGACAACTGGCAAAAAATCAGTTAACTGACACAAACCACCTAAAATTAGTAGTTAACCGTTAACTGATATTTTATTATTTTGGTTAATATCAGTGTAAAACGCTAGTAAAATTACTATGTACAGTGAATCAGAGTTAACTCTGAGTTAACTGACATTCGGTCGAAAAATTGGAGTAGTTAACTGACGATTGGGTACCCCATTGGCACCCTCTTAAAGGTTTACAGGTTTTAGAAGAGTTTTTCCCCTTTCAAACTGTTAAAATGCACAATCAGCAGGTCTGTTCTTCTCCAGAACATATCTCGAAGGAACTGGAAGTAATGGTGAGGCTTACCATCTTTTAAGTTCTCAAACTTTATGCGGCCTTTCACGAAACTTAATCAGTTTATTTTTGTTTACTATATAATTCAGGAATATCTTTCTGAGGAACAAATACAAGGTAAATATGAGACTGATAGGATACAAGTAGTCAGTTATGGTCAAAACTCTCCAGCATTCTGGAATGACAGCGGACGCCTTGAAATGACTTCTCCAGCAATGTTCTTCCCTTTTGTTCGGCACTGAGTTTGTAACCAGCTGCAGCCATGACCACGAAATGTCAGAGCTGCTTTGCATTTTCTTTAGTTCAAAATCACAACAATCATTTACTAAATTTCAATGAATTAGGATTTGAAGTTAACCCTGTTTGTCTAAAGCGAAAGAAATATGTCTTAAGCTTTCTAGAAGTCCAGCACTGATATAATGATTTGAAAGTTTTTAAATGATGTTTAAGTTTCCTTGTATTCACTTGTTAATTTGAGGAAACTTGAGCATTGTAGTTGAAATATTCATTATTGTCCCTAGCACTGAATGATAGCTACAGTTAATAACTAACAGCTCTTTGCGTGTTGTTTTCAGAATACAAAGTCGTATTTGAGGCGATCCAGAAAGATGACAAAAGACCGAAGAGCCACATTAAAAGACGAGAACTTGGGATAGCCATGCGGATGATTGGACTCAATCCAAGAGAAGACGATCTGCAAGAGTTTATTAATACGATCGAATTTGAAGGTAAAATACAATTAAATCTCAAGAGTTACTGGTAAAGAAAGAAAACATACATACGAGAATGACACCTCGTCTGGACTGGACTTGTCTGCTTGACAAAAGAGCTATAAGAGGCCGCAGAACCTAGAATAATAAGTACTCGAGGGAATTACACATGGTTTGGAATAGAAAACGCTACGCTTGTAGTAAAATAACTAGGAAAGATAACTAGCCAAAAACTAGCGTGAGCTGCGTCGGTGTTTCTAATGAAAAGATGAAAAACCTTTCTGACGTTTCGGACGCTAGTTCTATGATGCCGAGTCAATTCAATTCAATTCAATTCAATTTCAGTTTATTTACACTGTTTTTTTTCAATTTTATGTAATAGAATTACAAGAATATATATATAGTTCAATAATATTTAGAACTTTTAACATAATTAACAATATAATAGGTGTAAGTGTACGACAGCCAAAGGAGCTAAGCTTTCTAGTTGGCTGTCGTAATTTTCATTTAGGGTCAGAAAAAGAAAAAGAAAAAGACTACAATTCCAAAGACTATAATATGAAATTCAACAGTATAAATTTTCCTCTATAGCAAAAAAGAGTCCAGATACACTTGCGACATGCCCTTGCATTATGATGTCATTAACTACCAGAATCCCTTGCGCACTTTCTTTTCTTCAATTAATTAGCACCAATTGTTTTACAGTTCTCATGAGGAAATACAAGGTCGAATAAGCAAGAAAACGTTTATGAAGCATTATGGCAATAGTAGAAAGATGCCGCCATCATGCCAAAGTCCTGGGGGATGGGGGGGGGGGGGCATTAGTCACTCATTTCTCCAACCCCTGGATTTGCTCTCGTGACAATCTTTATTACAACAGATAATGGAAGGGTCGACTTTGCGCAGTTCGTCGAGATGATGGAAGAGCAGCGATCACACAGTCAAGAGGAAGAAGATGAAGTTCGAATGGCGTTCAATGTGTTTGACTCGGACTGTAGAGGATATATCGAGGCTAATGAACTACGATATGTGATGGAGACCGTACAAATAGCTCCAGAAGAAAAGCTAAATGAAATGTTACAAGATCTGGGGATTGATAAGGAGAGGAAAATCAGCTTTGAAGGTGGGTGCAGGGACGGAACAAGACGGAATGAAATTTGACGATACAATGGACTACTTCGACGCCTAATGTCAACTTGCCAGGGGGGCAAAACAACAAACAAAGATAAAGGAAAATATGTAGAGTTTAGTGTGCTTGTCTCTCTTTTATGGGTAAAGGTGATCGATATGTGCTGTCTTAATTATATATTAATATTAATATCAATCGACGTCATTACTGTCAATAAGCTTTAATTTCCCCCTCTGGACGCCCCATAATTGGATTTTATCCAAGATGGCCGCCTTATCATCGAAGTTGTCCATTGGTTGGCTGGCTTACTGACTGTCTGTTTCTATGGACTCTGGCTCTAGCAAGTATTTTTTTCTTTACATTTCAGAGTTCAAGACGTTTGTTTCTCCCAAGACCAACTTAAAGTAAACAGGCAGCCCAGTGGGTGAAATATGCGCGAACGATGTAGAATAAAAGCCGATTTATTTGTCTCTCTTTTTCTCTGTCTGTTTCTTTTTCTCTCCTCTCTCTCTCTCTCTCCCTATAATATACGTATTATAAAAAAATGAATTGCCAAAATAAGTTAGAAATTAAACGGACAGTTAATTAATCAATTAACTTTGATCTTGAATATTATTCTTTTTTTTCACTGATTACACTTGAGGCACTTTAACTTCGGATTTCCAGTATGTCTTTTTTTTGTTTTTGTTTTTGTTCTTTCTTTTTGTTGTTGTTGTTTTGCTTGTTTAATTGTTTGTTTATGTCGTTGTTTTTCTCATTTCATTATCCTACGTGTCCTCACTTTTAGTTATTATTTATTATTATTTAAGCCCATATCAAAATTATTTACAAAAGAGCTATATCAACGTAACTCACACATAACAAAAGGTCTAATTGGTTAACGCACGCTTGACGCAATCTATTGTTATTTAAACTACCAATCAGGTGGATTTGAAAGTCGTAAGAAAGCAAGGTGCAAAATCTACTTTTAAATTAAGCGGTCACGGAAGATAAACTTTTATATCTACACTATTGAGTTTTGACTTTCTATCGAATTCATATACCTCTTTACCTTAGGTTTAATGTTGTTATCATTTAAGACCACATGCAATTCCCTAGAGTATTATTTCTTTATTCAATCAGAAGACACAAATATTGGATACAACTTAAACAACGACTCTTGTTCTCAAGGAAATTGCACGTGGTCTGAAATGGAAAAAATATTATAACATGACATATTTTAAAATGGACAAACATGCAATGCCCAAGGTGTGACGGAGTAATTAAGATCTCACGTGACAAATTTAATTGCTTCTGTCAATACGTTATCTTTTTCATGATTGCATGATTTTATCAATGAGTTTTGAATAATATAACAAATAGTTAGCTTACGATATTGTTGTAGTAAATGCATGAAACTTAAGGTAAAATATATATAAAAGTTTAAACAGAAAATTTGGGAAGCCATTTCAATGTTAAGATATATCGTTCTTTTTATAAGTTATGGTTAAAAATGCTGTAAAATGTTTTAAGCAAAAGATTTGTCAGGATTTTAATTAAGGAATGAAGAGAAAAACAAGTAAGCTTGCCAAAAATTATGCTGAAATTTCTTGGAGAAGAGCAATAAAATCAAATTAAACCATGTCTTCAAAATAATTATTTTTTAAAAAAATTTAATTAATATTATAAATCTGTTTTTAAAGGTTAATACAAGATCTAGAGGAGCGAATCACTAATTTCTTAATCAAACAAGTTTCTGAATACGTTTGAGAATTCAATGAAAACGTTGGCTTGTTTCCCGCCGAAACTGTGGTTACCAGGTGGCAATTTCTACCTGTCGTTTTTTGACCAATTACGATGAAGCATAAAATGAGTGTAGTTTGTACTTACAGCTTGCTTTTCCATTACGCCGAATTAGGTCCAGCTTCCACTGCTTCAGACACTTCAACTTAAAGAATTCCTAGTGTATTTCCACAAGCAAGTTTTAAAAAATGGTAAGAGTTTTGATGATTCTTGTCCACAATTTGGTTCAAAAGAACAACAACAAATGACTCGTTTATAATATTTGAACATGTTTTTAAACAACTAAACAACTTATAAATGCAATTTGATAGCTACTAAACGATGCCAGACACCTTAAAGTTTGTTTTGGGCATTTTTTATTGTCAGGACACTTGAGTACGATCGATGGTAAAAACCTATTTCCACTCAATTAGCTCAAGGGATGATTTACAAAGTGGCAAAATTTCAAAGTGTACACGCGGTTACGTTTAAGCGTCCTCGCTGTAAAAAGAGCACAGATTTTTAAAATTTCATGCATATATATTATAATCTAAATTGACATTCGACAAACTAACAAAAGTATCTATTCTTTATCGTTTACAAAGTAATTTGTGGAAGACATGTTCCAAAAGTCTGCTGGAAAATGCACTTGAGTCGAAAAAAGACTGAAACACGTTGCTGGAAGGACATTTTTGCAAGGCGAAAAAATGAGTCAGAAATATGTCTAAGATGTATTCAACAGCAACTACTCCAGATTTAGAACCTTCGAAGTTGATTAATTTTACTTTCATTGATACGATGGCATGGAATTACGTGCATTTTAACTAGTTTAAATTTGACACGATTTTCTTTGTTTTTCGTAGAGCTATTATATGTCCCTATTTCCCTGCTCATTACGAATTGAAGTGCTGTGTCGGGATAACTTCCGCTATCCCGGCTGTATCTATGTATAGAGGCTTTGCACCATCATGTGATGGCAGCCATGACAGGAGGCAGAAACAATTGAATCTGGTCTAATCTGATTTACATGAGAAAGAATTCAGTTTGCCATGAGAAGACTATTTTTGTGCTTCCTGTCATGGTTGCCATCACGTGATGGTGCAACGCCTCTATTGCCCTTGAATACTAATGTATGAATGCCCTGGCAATATAGCGCATTTAACAGTTGCCTCAATGCGCTTTACATTTTTGATCAGTGGAGGACTTTACAGGCTGCATATTAAGACGCTAGTAGCAGTCGTGCAGCTTACAATCATGAGTGAATTAATTGTTAGTATATTAGAATTATAACTCCAAAAACAAGATACTTAATGTATGTATTTCCTGCATGCATGAATGATTAAATCAGTAAAAGATATTTCTTTCGCTACGGACTAATTTGCTCAAACAATTAGTTTTAAAAAAAATTCGTCGGCGCCTTGTATTGACTGTGTTTCTATTTTGATGATCTTGTTCTTCTGTTTAAATAGGATAAGATACCAGAAGAACAACTCCAAGGTTAGTTTATCATAGATGATATTACGATTATAAATATTGAGCTGGATGGATGGATGGATGGATGGATGGATGGATGGATGGGTGGGTGGATGGATGGATGGATGG